TACATATGCCAGGCTTCTATGAATATTAAAGACAAGGGCTTTCTTTGGGTGATGGTGCAGTGGAAAACCTTTGCACTCCGCCCCCCTCATCCCTTCATCTTTTCCGGCGATGATGCCCTACAAAACCTGCAATCACAAGGAGTGTCCCCCACATGTTGTTTGGTGCAGGGAGTCCTCATCCTACTTTGGCTTGCCCCCCTGCTCTACGGTAGCCTGGGTTCCCCAACGACTTAAAGGGACAAGCCGCGGGCCCGGGTCTCTTAGATTTTTCGTCTCAGCCTCTCCTCCAAGGAGACTATCATTTTCGGGTTTTATGCCATTTTCTATTGGAGAAGAACTTAAACCAACACTTCTTCGGGACCAAGCCTTGCGATGTGCCTCCTTGAAGAACTATAAAATGTTAGGGTTTGCAATTTGTCTCTCCGGGTTAGGGTGCGTTGGAAAGCCGTCCATTGCATTGAGTGTCTCCCTCGTCAATTCATCTTGCCCTAGACAACCTTCAATCGGAAGGAATGTCACCCTCATGTTAATTGGCGATGATGCTCTAGACAACCTTGAATCGCAAAGAGTGTCCCCATCATCTCTTCACCTTTTCTGGCGACGATTCTTTAGAAAACCTTGGGTCGCAAGCAACGTCCTCTTGTCCTTTTAAGATAGTGATGATGTTCTGGAAAACCTTCAAGCGCAAGGAGTGTTCCCCTCGTCCTGCTTTGCCTTGGTTCGCGTGCTTTGCTCCGGGTTCTTCAAAAAGACACTTCGCAAGCTCTGGTCCTTAAGATTTTTGGTACAAGTTCTCCTCCTGAGGGATAAATCGCAAGCCCTGATCCCTATCATTGTTGGTTGACTTGCTTCTCTATTGGAAAAGAACTTAAGCCGAAAATCTTAAGGACCAAGGCTTCCGATTTGTCTCCTTGGAGAATTTAACCCAAGAATGAAAGACTGCGACTTGCAATTAAACCTTCAATTTAACGGAATGCCCCCCTCAGCCGTTCATCTTTTCTGGCGGCGATGCTCTAGAAATCTTCCATCGCAAGGAATGTCCCCCTCATGTTTGTTGGCGATGATGCTCTAGAAAACCTTGAACCGCAAGGAGTGCCCCCCCCTCATCCCTTCGTGCTTTCTGGCAACAAGTCTTTAGAAAGCCTTGAATCGCAATGAGTGTGCCTGATACCTTCTCTAATGATCATGTTCCGAAAAACCTTCAAGCGCGGGAGTGTGCCCCTTGTCCTGGGTTCGCGTGCTCTGGTCCGGGTTCTGCAAAGACTTGATGAGAAACTTCGCAGGTCCGGGTCCCTAAGATTTTTGGTCCAAGCTCTCCTCCCGAAAGGACAAATCGCAAGCCCTGGTCTCGAAGATTATTGGGTTTACGTCCTGCTCCATTGGGGAAGAACTTGCAAAAAAGCCTTAGGAATCAGGTCTTGCGATTTGTCTATTTGGAGGAAATCTTAAACCCAATTTTTTTAGGACAAGGTATTGCGACTTGTCTCTTTGGGTGAGGGCGGGTGCTCTGGTAAGCTTCATTTGCAAGGAGTGCCCCGATGATTCTCTAGAAAACCTTCAATTGCAGAGGGTGTCTCCCATATCTTTCTGATGCAATGGGTGTCCCCCCTCATCCTGCTTTGCCTTGCCTCGCTGCGATGGTCCGGGTTCTCCAAAGACTTAAACAGCAAGTCGCAGGCCCTGGTCCCTAGGATCTTTTGTCTAAGTTTTCCTCCAAAGAGACAAATCGCAAGCCCTGATCCGTATCATTTTTGGTTTACGTCCTTTCTCAATTGGAGAAGAACTGCAACCAGCAATCTTAGGGACCGAGGCCTGCGATTTGTCTGCCAGGGTTGTTTCGGCGAAAGAAGACAGGGAAAGTAGCCAGAGAATGGCTTAACAACTGAAGCAAGCAGGGACCGGACCACAGCATACACTATCAAAATGTCGGCGAAAAAAGAGGAAACGGAAAGGGGCCAGAGAATAGGTCAACAAAGTGGCGTGTCCTTTCGGGTGGAATGAGAAGCGACCGGGCCACAGCGTGTTCTAGTCAAACGGAGTTTTTCGGTGATCAAAGACGAAAGGGAAAGGGACCACAGCATGGTAAAAGGGAACAGAGACCAGGCTGACACACTGGCGTGTTGCTTGTGCTGAAACGAGAAGGGGCCGGGCCATAGCATGGACAAATGAAATGTCGCTTTTCTTTGTTTTGCTGAAACGAGGCTAACAAAGTAGTTTTTGTTTCGTAAAGGGGACAGAGAATAGGTTATCAAAGCGGGGTGCCTCTTTTGGTGACACAGAAGGGCCGGGCCCCAGCATAGACTAGCAAAATGGGCTTTTCGAGAGGAAAGCGAAAGGGGCCACAACACTGACTAACAAAATGGGGCTTGCTTTTCCGTAAAGAGGGGCCACAGAACAGGTTGACAAAGTGGCGAGTGTGTTTTTGGCGAAGGGGAACTTAAACAAAAACATCTTGAAAACCAAGGTGTGTGACTTGTTTCCTTGGGTGAGGGTGTGAGAGGTGGAGCAAGGTCCTGGAGGTGGAAACGAGGGTGGGAGGTCGGATGGGCTGAGGAGTGACGGTGTGGAGAAGCGTGGGGTGGGGATGGAGGGTAGAAGTGAGAGAGGTGAAGAGGAGGGTGCCGGGTGGGGTGGGCTGGGGGGTGACCGTGTAGAGAGGTGTGGTGTGGGGATGGAGTGAGGTGGGCTAGGTCGGGTGAGATTGAGTGAGGGGCGGATACAAGTGATAAAAGACTGATAACAAGCTAATACAAGTGACAAAAAGGCGATAACACTGTGATAAGCATCAGTAAGGGTGACAAAACGTGATGGGAGGTGATGAAAAGGTGATAAGGGGGATGATAAAGATAATGAAACCATGATACACATGATAAAAAGCATGTTAAAGATAATGAGGAAAATGGCGGAGAGGACAAGGAAGATGATAGGGATGATAACGAAGATGGTGAAGATGGTAAAGATGATAGAGAAGATGACAAAGCTGCTCCCCGCCTCAGGATTTGACTTATTTACTTGGGGCAGCGAATTAAGTAGTTTCAATCCCGGGGAGGTGGGTTCCAGGCAGGTTGCGGAACTGATTAATTTGAATGAAATAATTGAAATCCGGAGGCCTCCCCCAATATTTCGGATTATGTAAATTCTTTAATTGCGGGGGGTCGGGACCCCCAGGATAGCAGGATTCAAACTATGCTTGGGGCAGGGAATTAACCAGTTTAAATATGGGGGGAGGCCGGGTTTAAGTTATTCATATCCCGGCCGAGGAACCCGCGGACAGCAGACAGGGTTTATCTGGCAGCTGGTTCTCGTGTTTCCCTCGGTACACACAGTTCCAGCTGTTCAAAAAGACCCGGTTTAAGCCACACACACCCGGGGGTAGTTTCACGTTAGAGTCTGAGTTGCTGACGTAGGGTAGTGCAGTCAGGGTCGAAAGGCTGAAAGGGATGAGAGGTTAAGGCTTTAGGGTAGCGATTGGATTTCAGACTCCCACTGATTAGGGACTTCAGACGGCTTTAGATATTCGGGTTGAGACCTCAAGCGACGGCACTTCGGGTGCCAGGCACAGAGGCAGAAAATGCTGGCCGACAGCAGAAAGCAAAGGCTGCCACAGAGACGTAATCGAGCTTTTGCATCCGTGGAAGCCCGCAAGCGTCCGTCATGGAAGGTGAATGACTGTGAGAGGGAGCGAAACTTCGTTGGCAGCTAGATCCAAGGCTCCCTTTGGAAACCCAACGGTGGCTAGCTGTCCGCTTAAGGAATGGTGGGCCTTTTCGTTGGCGTCTTTGTGGCGGAGCGCTTGGCCGGCTCCGTGAAATCCGTTTCGGCGGAAAGAGTTCGCTCCGGGCTCTATGGCCAAGCTGGCAACAAGGCGTGACAGGACAAACGGCTACAGTTTTAGTTCTGCCAAGGGAGTTCTTCTCATGCTAGCCCGCGTGCGGATACCCCCTGGCATGGCTTGGAAGTGGAAGACTCCTTGTGGGTTTTCGAGACAGAGATCCCCTGCTCCGGTTACACAGAGCCTTGGCAAGGGCGCCGTGGCCGTCAGCTTCAAGATTGAGGAGCCTCGTGGCTTCAAGGAGGCATGGGCTAGGGGCCGTGCGATTTCGGTTCTGAGTTGAGGTTAGCAATGTTTAGAGAACCAGGGACTATGTAGATACCCCCAGCAGCCTTGCAGTCGACGACCAGGCCTGGCATGAAGCATGTCTCGAACTCATACATCCCACAGTTTCACCGAGTACCAATCCATGCCTAGATTTCGCGGGCTGAAGGCTTGGAAAATTGCCGCCTTCACCACGCGAGCGCGGATAGTTCATGTTTACAAGCTTGACATCAAGGACCTCGATCTGTGCCATCAGCTTGCACTTGGAGAGTGGCCAGCACGGCAAGAAGGCTCAGGACACTTGTGGTTCCTTTCCTCTTCTTGTCACCAAGACTAAACTTGCCACCATTGCTCCTTGTCTTTCCATGGTTATCGAACTAAATATTATGAGGGTATCGGCACCAGGAGCGCCTTGAACAGCTCCGGGAGATCCTCCAGGGCATCTCAGAGTGAAGTGGAGCCGCAGGAGCTCTGATTCTCTTCGAGACTCTGAGGCGTGCGCCACGAGAAGGCGAAGTACGATGTCATGGTTCTAGGCAGCGGCATGCAGCGGCTAGCGGCCATAGCACGCACCGTCAGAAAGTCGCTGAGCTCGAGGTGGTGACTTCAACTTTCGAGCTGCCTTTCCAGAAGCGGGGCAGATTCCCAAGGTCTTGTCCGAAGGCTTCTCACGATCTTGTGAAGGTGGGACAGTCTTTCCGAGCTGTAGCCCGGAGTGCGGGAGGATGGGCGAACCCTGCCGGCGTGGCGAGCTCCGAAAGGCGAGTCGGGGAAGGATCTTACCAGACCAGCGAGGAGGTGATGCGCCTCTTCCGCGAGTGCCGCCCGGAATGCACGTGGAGAGTCCCGTGCTGCTCTGAAGACTCTGAAGCCAAGCAAGCTCAGATGACGAAGTGACCGCAGGCAGGAGCAGGACAGAAGTGCCGTCAGACTGGAGTGAGAGTTTTGTTGCCATCGCGTTGTCAGAGGCAGGAGCTCCAGGAGATTCTCAAGGAGTGGGGCTGTCATCTGAGGCTCAGGCAGGCACCCCTTTGCCTCGGAGGAGTTCAGCCTTGTGGAGGGCCCCGTGCGCTTCCCTCCCACCTACCGGCTGCTGGAAGGACACGGGAGCACAGGCCTCTCCCAGAGCATAAGACTAGTACCTGTAGCACACAGTTCCTGCGAGTTCAGGACAAAGTTCCTATGACCTCGAACGCCAGCCAGCCTGGTGTGACCGCGTGCTCCACTCCAGGGTCAGCGTGGTCAGAAAGAGCAGCTCTGCGGCCATGAGACCAATACAAAAAAGGAGCGCCACAATGAAAACACCTGGAAACACTGTCAGGACTGACTTGATTCAAGTGATCAAAGAGAGAGAGACGATTGAATGAACTCTCGAAGCACTTGCCAAAGGCTATTGTGCACTGGGCCATTTGAACCACACAGACCACCGCCCTGTTTGTGCAACACAGCTGAATTCGAAAAAAGGGCTCTTACTGTCATGCCAATGGGATTTGATCCATTATCCGCCTCGAACTGGGATCCGAGGTGATGCTTGAGTTGCTCCTACTAGCTCTGCCTCGGCCGGCTGAGAGCCCCACACGGACCCCTAGGGCCTCTAGGTGTTGTCAAGAGTTCCATCTTGGCCCGAGACTGCGAAGGACCCCGCCAAGCACGAGCCCGTCGCCTTTACCCGAGCCCCCTGCGGCCTCGCCGCAGGCCCGGAGAGAAAAAAGACGATCAAAACTCCCTGACTCGAGTGCACCGTCAGGCTGGGGCTGGGCCGTTCGGCCTGGGGCCAGTGAGCCCTGTGACTACATCGGAGGCTTCAGTCACGCCGGCTACGGTAACTGCACCGACCCTGCCACAGGCAAGAAGGGCCTTGGAAAGCTTGCACTCGTAGGAAATGACTACACCTTACAGTTGTGCATGAAGAGGACTTGTTGGACTTCGAAGACCCGCCACATGTACCTTCCTCACCGAAGACGCCGATGCAGACGCCGCAAACCCTGCAGACAGGAGCAGCTCTTTTTAGCACCTGGGGTTGAGGAATGCGTTGGGTTACCAGTTCCAGAATACTTTGGCAGGACAGCTGGTTTTGGCAAAGTTCCAGACTGGCTGGTACTTAGCCAACGTTCTGCGCAGCTCACCTGCAGAGACTATGTTTGCACATCTCGTGCGCTTCCCAAGTTGCAAGTCAGATGACTGAGGATACGATGGCATCACTGCTGATGTTGCTTGGTTGAGACCTCCAGGGACCGTTTGGGGCAACAAGGACTGCTGTGCCTGAGACGATGGCCTCGCATAAGCTGTTCTGGTTCCGCAGGAAGAGATGCAACGCTACCTCTGCTCGACTGGAGCAGACGAGACGCTGCACGGAGAGAAGTTGCACATCGCGACGCACGTCAGGTCCAGCGGTGCCTGCACAGTAAACAGGACAGGCGAGCTGAGCCAAGATCCCTTGGTAGGCTGCCGGAGTTGCCGAAGGGCACCAGCGCTCTCGCGCATCCGCCGTATCCGTCAACCTCGCCCGCCGCGACGAACTCGAGCTCCGTCTCAGTGGACTTGCTGGGTTGACCTTTGTCGAGCCAGCTCTCCAGAGACCGGCCCGGCTCGTAGCTTCGCGGCGGTGAAGAAAAGGGAAAAACGCGAAAGACTGTCTCTGACTCTCGCCCTCTCTCTCTCTCTGTCTCTCTGTCTCCTGCTGACCGTGCTTTGTGGGACCCTCGGTCTCGCAGGATGTCAAGATCCGCGATTTGAAGTCCACAGCTGCACAGAAGATCTTCCAGGCCTTGCGCCTACCGTGACGGCCGTGACGCCAGCCATCATCTTGCTATCGGGGCGCTGCCAGATGCTGCCAGGACAAGCTGGCGGCCCCACTGATTGAAGCAATTGGTGAATATTTCGAGCACCGAGACTGCAGAAGACCTTTATAGGGAGGCGACAGCTTGCTGTGGGACGGTAGCACCTGCCAGGCTCCCGCCGAAGAACGTGGTGGTGGATGATGCGTTCATCGTCAGGTATGCGACAGACTCTCAAGGGGGCCTGTCCTTTCATCGGGACGGCCGGAGCCCCGAAACCTGAACCCGGAGAAACCTCGTCCTTGAGCTCTCCCTTGCCAGGTTCCATTGTCAGTTCGATTGTGACCCTGTCTGACGAGAGCCACGGCCACAAGATGTCTCAGTCCGAACAGGTGTGAGCGGGTTCGGACCGACTCCTTTTCGTTTGGTTCTGAGCCCAGGAACGATTACGTCGGAGGTGGCACCGAGTTCTTGGACGGCAGCGTGTACCGGCCATCCCAAGGCGCCCGTCATGCAGCAACATTTGGGACATTTGGGAGGGTGTTCAGTTCCACTCCGGAGGGCTGCAACTCACAGCTTTGACGAGGTGGCGGAATCCTTTTCGGAGGCCAGCGACTCCATGGCGGTGTGGAGATCGAACGCGGGGCTCGCTTGTTGGTCTGCAATTTGGGTCAGCGTAGGGCAACCTCATGCGGAGATCCAGAGAACTGGAGTTGTAGGCTCGATGCTTGACACAAGGTTATATTTGCACCATCTTCTTCAAGCAGAAGACTCAGAGAACCTTCTTTTTTGCGGCTTCTGTCTTCTATGGCCCTGAGCCTTTGGCCGCTCTCCTGGCAGGTGTGGCGGGCTCAGCTGCCGAGCGGCTCTTCTGCAATCGGTTACACGTCGGGGTTTTCTCGGGGCGCGCTCGGCTCTTTGTCTGAGGACCTGGCTGTAAAGAAAGACAAGGAGGAGGAGAGCGGAAAGCACTGGTCTAAAGCAGGGGCAGTGGTGTTCGCTTCAGGAGGGAGATCCAGGCATCTGGGGTGCCCTTGCCAACATCATGGGGGTGGGCCAGTGAGCGGCGGCCTGTGCCCAAACGTTAATGGGCCGTTTGCCTTCATGGTTGCAGTCTCGGCAGAGCTCGCACAAGACATCGCGCTTGAAAGGCAGAGTTTGCTCCCTGTGTTCCCTGAAATTTTTCAGCAGCTGCTTGGAAAAGCTTGGAGCTCGAAAGTAATATACCCCTCTCATCCGGCAAAAAGAAGAAAAAGCTTGAAGTTGAAGTTGCTGTGCCAGCGCATGCCACAGTGTTCCTTTCGCTTGCCCTGAAACGACAGAGGCTCCAGGGGCCTTGGTAGCGCCCGCAACAAAGGGGGGCCAGGTCTGACAACCATGCCCAGCCCATGGACTTTCTGGAGGGCACACGGGGCATCTCCCAGGCTTCGGGCACCAACACGGGTCCACAGCGGGCCACTTCAAGTGTTCCGAACCTCTCTGAGAAAGAGAGACGGAAGGGCCAGGGCCGCCCCCTTGCATTCCCACCGCCGAAAAGCAAGACTCCGCCCAGAGAGCGCCCAAAAGGTCAGAATGAGCAGAGTGCTCCGACGGCAAGTGCATTCCTTGATGCAAGCGATGCATCAGCAGACAAACAGCCAGCGCCAGAATCGGCCGCAGGTTCAGCACCACCTTCGCCACG